TTGTGGGTGTTCAGATCAGATAATTTGCCTCCAAGAGAAAATGTATTTGTGAGGTGTGGCAGTAATAATTATGGTAAAGATTCTTTACATTCCAAAGGTCTCTTGGTGCTGCAGGCAGAAGTTGTGCTCAAAGTTTGTGTTTTTGCAAAAACAAAGGTGGAGACGTTCTGTCTGACCTTCTCCATGTCCTCCGTACTCAGTGCTAATGTTGGATAAGCAGCGTTGGTCTACTTCTTCCTATTTTATGATAATAAATATGGATAATATGATACAAATATGATAATAAACCTGAGGTTTGCTCTGGAGGGCTCCTCCCAGAGTTCCTTAGTCCCCCTGACACAGACTTTGTGTCAGGACCCTTCATTCCTCAAGCCAAGACCCCCTCATCTGGTGACCCCAAACCCCTTCACAACTTAAGAACAAACCCAGAAAACCATTGTTCATAACGTGGGGAACACCTGCATGTCCAGTTAAGTACACAGTTATATTTTAAAAACAGGACTTTAACCAAAAAAACATTTATGGAGCACCTGTGATATGTGTGACCCTGTGCTTAGCACTGGAGATGCTGAGATAAAAGGAGAGATCCCTGTGCTCTAGGAACTCATGGACTAGTTAGGGAGGTAGCCCCGTAGACAGTGGCCTTGTGATGGGAGCTCACATAGAGGCATAACAAGGGTCTGTGGGAACACAGAGCTGTCACTCAGCTCAGATTGGGTGATGGGGGTGCTGGTGAGGGGGAGATTCTGGATGCAATGGCCTGAGAAGTGACAGATCACTTCATTAGGAATTAGCCTGCAGAAAGAAATGCATAAGTTGGGGAGCTGGCATGTGTTACTAAGAGAAATTGGATTGGAATTCAACTAAATGATTAGTATGTGCCAGATTGTACACATTGACTCATCTCCTACGTAAGTCTCCCCTGAGATTCTCATTCTGTAAATAAGTAACCTGAGGCTTGTTTTTAACTCCTCTTTTTAGGCTCCTTTAGTCCAGTATCTCTATTTTTATTTATTTATTTATTTATTTATTTTTTTGAGACAGAGCCTCAAGCTGTCCCCCTGGGCAGAGTGCCATGGTATTACAGCTCACAGCAACCTCCAACTCCTGGGCTCAAGCGAGTCTCCTGCCTCTGCCTCCCAAGTAGCTGGGACCACAGGCGCCTGCCACAACGCCCGGCTATTTTTTGGTTGCAGCCGTCATTGTTGTTTGGCGGGTCTGGGCTGGGGATTCGAACCCGCCACCTTAGGTGTACGTGGCTGGCGCCTTAGCCGGTTGAGCTATAGGCGCTGAGCCCAGTATCTCTATTTTTAAAAGTGGTCTAGGGAAAGCTAGTCAGATCTTCTAGTGTCACTGTGAAAAATGAAACTCTGGCAATATTGTTTGTGGGGATATCTGGGCTCACTTTGGATATTCCAAACCATTCTTGTTCCAACCATGCCACTGGGTAGGCCTGAGGAGCCAAGTGTGTCCTGTGTGTCCCTCCCCGGTGGGCTGTGTTGCCTAGTGGTTAAGAATCCAATCCCATTGCTGCCACCCTCTAACATACAACCTTGGGGAGGTCACTTTACATTTCTAAAACTTGGCTTTCTCATCTGTAAAATATGGTTAATAATGTTATCTAACTTATCTGGCTCTTGTGAGAATCAGGAGAAAAATGCCTGTAAAATGCTAACTGTAATGCTGGCACATAGAAACTGCTTGAGAAATATTAGCAACTAAAGCATTATACTAAGGGGAAAGGTCACTTCCCTAAACTCAAGTTTCACTCACTGACATGAACTCTGGTTGACATCTCACCTTCTCTGAAGCCCACACTGTGGTTGGAGATTGTGGATGAAACAGCAACTGACCACAGGGGCCAGGACCAGGGCTCTACCAGAGAAGCCAGCTGGGTAGAAATCCAATTTCTAAGCTCCTGGACAGAGCTTTCAGCTCCTAGAATACGAGAGGCACATTTCCATTAGGGATGTGAGTGAATACTCTAGCCAGGAGCTAGGACAGAAGAGAGGGGGGAGATAAGAAAGTAAGGGGAGGAGGGGAGAAGGGTGTATAAGAGAGAAGGTGGAATGGGGTGGCCTGAGAGGATGGAGATGCAGATGGAGGGAAGCTAGAAAGAGGGAATGAGGAGAAATGGGACAGAGAGGGAACAAGGAGAAATGGGAGCAAGGGGGAGGAGGAGGAAGGTGTGATTGGGGAGAATGAAGCAAAAAGAATGAATGAAACATTCAGGAGATGAGGCAATATTTTGTTTAAAAAACTCTAGCAGGTGTAGGTAGGTGGCTGTTAAGTGATATTTACTCTTCAAAGGTGTTTGGTTTGTAAATTGTGGGTCATAGAAGGGAAAAGGGAAGATTACAAAATGACAACTTCCCCCTCTCACTCTTTGAAATCAACATGGGAGATTCTGTGAAAGTAGCCATTAAGATGCATTTCCCTCCATCTTTTAGCTACTTTATGAACGTCGTTCCATTTCGCTGGTGGTTAATATCTCCCTGATATGTCTAATCTAAAAGCTTACATTTGCAGCTTGCTCGAGCTATACACCATGAAAGGTGAGTCCATGAGATTACAATTTTGTCCCCAAATTGAAGACTCTCAAAATTTGACGGCCCCTGTCCATTCAGTAGTCTATTTAAGAGCACATTTGGCAGAAGACGATCCAGGTCCAGTGTGGGCATCCCTATTGGCAGAGCTAACAAACAATCGGATCATTCTTTATTGGATAGCTTGTGTTGAATTAATATTTGTCACCTGGTAAATTTCACATAGTGGGCCTAATGCCGCCAGCAAAGCAGCTGAGAAGCCGGGGAGTTCCCATTTCTTCAAGACAGGTCTTCAAACACTGAAGAGTCCTTCAAATCGTTTCTCATTTTGATGCTTGAAGAACTCTCCCCATTCTGTATGGCCTCCTCTAGACAGGATATAATTGTAAATGCTCCCCTTCAGTAAAGTTGCCTTGAACAATACAGCATCAAACACTACATTGCACAATTTCTGGCAACAGGCGGAATGAGGTAATAGAGACTTCCCACCCATCTCAATGAATATTTCAAAGGCTTGTCAATGCTGAGTGAAATGTAACCTAAAGATTTTAAATAACATCGTTAAGCTGTAAGGGACTTGTCTGTAACAAGGAGAAGCAGTAGAAGGCTAGGCACAGTGGCTCACGCCTATAATCCTAGCACTCTTGGAGGCCGAGGAGGGTGGATCGCTTGAGCTCACAGGTTTGAGACCAGCCTGAGCCAGAGCAAGTCCTCGAGACCTTGTCTCTAAAAATAGTCGGGTGTTGTGGCAGCCGTCTATTCTCAGCTACTTGGGAGGCTGAGGCAAGAGAATCGCTTGAGCCTAAGAGTTTGAGGTTTCTGTGAGCTGTTATGCCATGGGACTCTACCAAGGGTAACAAAGTGAGACTCTGTCTCAAAAATAAATAAATAAAATAAAAAAATCAAGGGGAAACAGTAAATCCATAACAGCGAGCTGGCAGAGTGGCAGTTCATAGGTGTTTGGGTCCTGGTCTTCTAGAGCCTCCAGAAATTATAACCCCAGGCCTGAGATATGCATGAGTTTAGGATCTCAATATTTTATTGTCTGCATAGAGTATGAACCACACTCCGAGAAATTAACACAAGAACTGATCCAGGGCCATTGATACTCCTGGAGCCTTGGTAGGAGCTAATACATAATAGTTCTGTAAGGACTTTTTACAACCTAAGTTTATGTGAAGGTCAACAGGCATGATAAAAAAAATTTATGTCCCAAGTATTGACAGTCATAAAACAATGTGAAAAAGATAATATGCTTAAAATATCTAAGAAGCAAAAAGAATAGAAGGAATCTATAATGAAAAATAGGACAGTATAATAAAAGGAACAAAAGGACAATTAAAATATTAAATGTTTGAGAAATGAGAAATCTGTCACTAATTTAAATTAATTCATGGATGAGTTAATAGCAGAAGAGATAATCAAATGTGAATTTAGGAAAGTAGAAGATAGCTTTGAAGAAATTAGCCAGAATAACACTGAGATAAACTTGTAACCATTTCCAAACTTTTTTTTTTTTTGAGACAGAGTCTGACTATGTCACCCTTGGTAGTATGCTGTGGCACACAGCAACCTCCAACTCCTGGGCTTACATGATTCTCTTGCCTCAGCCTCCCAAGTAGCTGGGACTAAAGGTGCCCGCCACAACGCCCGGCTATTTTTTTGTTCCAGCTGTCATTGTTGTTTAGCTGGCCCAGGCCAGGTACGAACCCACCACTCTGGGTGTATGTGGCTGGTGCCCTACCCTCTGAGCTATCATTTCTATAATTACAAACTCTGATAGGTGCTGGGAGGAAAGTGTCTCCATGCTAGCTGGCATACAAGGGGCATGGCTGACCTACTTCACTTGTGTTACACGGTTCTGGAGGTCTGAGAAAGCTCCCCTGAGAAAGTGACCTTTGAGCTGAGATCAGAGTGGATGGAATAAAGTTGGCATTGGGAGGGGGTGAGGTGGGGAGAGGGCCAAGAGTTTTCCACAGAGAAGGAACTGTTTGTGCAGAACCTTGGACAGGAAGGGGTTTTGCATTTATCTTAGAGGAACTGAAAGGCTATCAGTGAGGCTGCAGAGCAGAGCCATTGAGATGGGTGCCAGGTGAGGTTTCAAGGTAGGCCAGGGCTCCATCTCACGGACTCTTGCAGATTGTGTGGATGATTTTCTTCTCAAACCCAGGAATGGTGGGGCCACCAGGCAAAAGGTTAGGGCTCTGGCAAAGGTGGAAAAGTAGAGAAAAGGAGGACTCATTCAAGAGGCATTGAAAAAGAAGTAAACTAGTGATGGATTGGATAAAAGGCACGAGGGAGGGGGAGATGCCAGGGTGCTGCCCAGGTTCTGACTTTGCCAGGGGGTGATCTAAGGTTCTGAACCACTGTTTTGGTCACTTTTGCTTATTTTCAGTGTGAGAAGTCGAAGCAGACCGCCCAGGTGCACACACTGACTTCTCACCTTTGAACTTGAAAACAGAGGTTCCTATTGGGAGAGTGAATGAGTGGGAAGCCAGGAGGGAAAGTGAGCAGGCAGAGAGGCCAGGAGGGAGTGTGAGAGCAGAAGAGGATGATCCAGGGATGTTCCTGCCGCAAGCGGGTCAGAGAAGGCAGAGAGGAGGCCAAGACCGGCATAGCAAAGGCCTGGACAGGAGGAACGAGGGGGTGGGGAGCGCTGAGATGGAGGAATCCTCTCAATGTACGATTGCAAAAATTCACTGTCATGTTTTTACTTTGATAGAAATGTGATACTTGCACTTGCAGAAATTTTAGAAGACATAAAAGTATAAAGCAAATTAAGATCACCCAGTCTGTACCTGGAGGCATCCACTGCTAAGTAAGAACTTTTTTTTTCCTTTGTAACTTGTCCAGATTTATCACACACATGTAAGTTTCCCCTCTGCTTCGAAACTTCCCACACTCTGTCCCAGACTCTGCATGGAAACAGGATACAGAAACCAGAGGGTTTGCAAAACTCACTCCAGCGGGAGGCGGCGTTTGGACTCCTGGGACCCCGATCTTCCCGCAGCTGGAAGAGCTGACATCTGGGGACCTCGTGGCAAAAGCAACAAACCTCTGGCTGTTTGGTTACTGGCAGTAAGAGGGCTGCCTGCTCCTGGGCCTGGGGATTGGCCCGCAACCTCGCGGAGAGAGGCCGTGCGCGTCCAGCGCTTGGCCGAGCTCTGCAAGGTCTCTGCTTCTGGCGACATGCGGCGCCTGCTGCTGCTGCAGCTCTGGGCGCTGCTCCGGGTCTGGGGAGGCCCGGAAGGTGAGTGGGACGGCGCTCTGGGCGCGCGCCGGGAGGGCTGAGGGAGGGACCGGATAGGGACCGAGGGAGACTTGAGGTGGATGCGGGTGGAGCTTGCACCCTTCGCGGGTCCAGCCGGAGACCTCATGGGGTCGGCTCCGGGGAAGGGGAGCGCTGCCGGGCGCTCGCACGCTCCATCCCTCCTTCCACGCTCACCCTCTGCTGTTCCCATCGCCCCTCCTCACCCGCGCGCCCTCTCTCTCCGCCACTTGCTGCGCCTCCGACTCCATCTTTCCCAGGCCCGCAAAGGAGCATCTCCTTCCGCTGCTTGCAGATCTCGTCCTTCTCCAACAGCAGCCAGGTGCGCACGGATGGCTCAGCCTGGCTGGGGGAGCTGCAGACCCACAGCTGGGTCGACTCCTCGGACGCCTTCCGCTTCCTGAAGCCCTGGTCCCAGAGCGGATTCAGCGACCAGCAGTGGGAGAGGTTGCAGCACATCTTTCGGGTTTATCGAATCAGCTTCACCAGAGAAGTACAAAAATTCGTCAAAAAGCTACAAGTAGCCTGTGAGCTGAGGGAGGAGTCCTGGGAAGTTACCGAGGGGGGAAGATGGGCGCGGACGCCCACCTGGGTGGGAGACCAGGCCCCCACCTGTCCATCCTCTTCTGATTTCCATTTCTGCCTGGACATGTCCCAGCCTCTAACTCCCCACAATGTCCCCTGTTCCTGCCCGCTCTCGGTCACTCATCCTCACACTGATTTCTTCTCTTTCACCCTGTCCCGTCTTTTAAACCCTTCTGTGATCTCCATCCACGCCTCTCCTCAGATCCCGTTGAGATCCAGCTGTCCGCCGGCTGCGAGGTGCGCCCAGGGAACGCCTCCTCAGCAAACTTCTTACACGTAGCATTTCAAGGAAGCGACTTCCTGAGTTTCCAAGGAACCTCCTGGGAGCCAGCTCCACAGGTCCCAGACTGGGGAAACTGGGTCATCGGAGAGCTCAACAAGGACCAGGGCACGAGGGAAACAGTGCAGTGGCTCCTCAGTGACATCTGCCCCCAACTTGCCGGTGCCCTGCTTGAGGCGGGGGCTTCAGAGCTGCAGAAGCAAGGTCAGCCTGCCTTCCTCACGCCTGATCCCTGCTCCAGGGTTTCCCAGTCCAAGGTTCTAATCCCTTCCAGCTGCTGCAAAGAGAAAGGGACAGGAGGGGCTGGATCTGCAGGTGGGGATGGGGGCGGGGCGGGGATTTACCTCTCCCGGGTTCCCTGTATTGAATCACCTTCACGCTGGGGGTCAAAGCCGTTGGGTAGGTAGGATCCCTGCTTGTGGGGGAGAGGAGAAGACAGATTAACAATCAAAACGGCATCTGAGACTGGGTACTGTCACAGCTGAACAAGGGTGTCTAGGAGTGCAGAGGGAGGACA